CTGGTTACAGAAGCATCAGAATCTAAGACTATCCACACGAGAAACTCGGTCCCGTTTGTGTGAAGCAAGATATGCAAGTCTATAGCGGTGTGAAATTCGACCTGGCATATTTATAAGGTCTCGCCGAGCACCAAGTGCTGGATGGCTAATGTGGCCTAACGTAACCATTGCACTGAAGTTGTCCGCGAGGATAAAATGGCATACCAGCAGAAGTTGGCAATGACTATGGTCTCAAATCACAATCTGCTGTATTAACATGTAAACAGCCTACGTAAAGTGAACTGGGAACTCCTCCTCTTCAAAAAATGGAAGGATTGACACTTACCGCGAAGGATGCGGCGAATGCTCTGCGACTTCAATATGCTCCAAACTTTCGGTGCGTTCAGTGGTCACACAGGGTTGGTTCATCCCCAAAACTCACTCACATATGCTTTACGACAGAAAGTGTACTGGAATAGTTGATGTATATGAGTAAGCACAGCTCCCCAGAAGTTGGTAGTATTCACCGGAAGTCACTTGCGGCAGTAGAAAGCGGACTAGATGTGGCATTGGCTTAATTTTTATAACGCTTTTTTGACGAAATTTATGTGCCCAACATGCGGAAACATGGAATAGTAACTCCAAATCAAAAAAGGACGATCGTCCTGATCCAGCCAACTACCCTCCTGCAACCCCCCAACCGGTACAATCAAAGGTCATGGAAGCCGTTATTGCCGATAGCTTGACGGCCTACTTGGAAGAATTTACCTCATTTGTACTAGAACAGTATGGATGCACTACAAATTTACTGCTGGCACGATCCAGCTGGGCAAAGCAGTAGGCACTGGGGAACGACTGGATGTAAATTGCCTCGACTTCTCTGAGGCATTCAACCCATTACACCATGGCATCCTACTATCTAAGCTCTAGAGCATTAGTAACCCTCTCCTAGGGTGGATCAGAAGATTTCTCCTCCACCGGCGTTCGGAGGTGCGTGATTTCCCAACAGATCCAATGCACGTCAAAAGCGGAGTCCTAAGGGGATCGGTACTGGGGCCATCATCATCAAAAGCAGCCATTTTAACTGATGCTCGCCGTACAACTACGGTGACCTACGGACCGAAGTACAGTAAGAGAGAGAGAAGGGGCATACCGGGAAATCTTAATGTCTTAACAAACATACAAGGACAAAGCGCATACACCTTGTCCACAACATACCGTCACAAACAGGTGGGTATCGTATATATATATATATATATATATATATATATATATATATATATATATATATATATATATAATACACAATATGTGGTACAGATATTGTGACATCGGAATCATGGCTGAAGAGGAAAACAATATGAATAATAAGAAAGTAACAATAACAAGCATTGTTTGTCCAGTTTACTACTCACGGTCTTTAAAATTTCTTGTTTGTTTTTTTAAGGGAAGGAAGGAGGGACACCGTAACAAACCGTTGCACACGTCCGCCACTGACATCGATCTTGAGCCATGGTTTCCAAGGTCTTCTACAAGCAATTATCCGCGTCTCTCGGACCCCAACCAGGTAGTCGACAACAACCGGCCGAAGCCCTCTTTCGTCAGCTTTTCATGCGGCTTCTCCAAGTCGCAGACTGCCCACCAGACCTTCTCTTGCAGCCTTGTCCAGCAACCACAAACAACGCATGACGTGGGTAACGCTGAACAGGCATGTGCAATACGTGTCAAAGCCACCGCAGTTGATGCAGTGAGACGAGCTCCTCGAGCTGTCTCTCTTCCACATGGCTTAAGTTGGGGCCGCCATCACACACGGGCAATGGACCGCAAACAGCGGTGTTCGAAGATAGATAGTCTGCGCGAATCACCTTTACGAATGGGCCAGGTCTCGCATCCGTACAACAGTACAGCACGAACAGTTGCACAGTAGACCCGCCCTTTGATGGAGAGACGAATTTCGTGACGACGCCACAAGTGCCTAGAAATAGTGAGGCGTGCTCTTGAGATTCGCATTAAAATGTTGCTCCAACAGCCCCGCCAGTAGTGATGCAATTACCCGAGTAGACAAAGCTCTCCACAACTTCCAGTGTCTCACCACCAAGAGTGAGTGCAGACACAGGCAATTGCCAGTCTTGAAAGAGAGCCTTGCATTTGGATGGCAAAGGCTGCCAGTCATCTATTAAAGCCCGTTGGTCTTTTATAAGTGTGTGCAATCGTTAAAGTCGCAGGTTTCGTATCCCTCAAGTATCGGAAAACTGGACCAGTGAAATCACATTGGTTCGACAGAGAGTATGGCCAGTTAGCTCATCGGCGACGCGTATTGTGGAATAAATTCCTCGTGTCTGGCTCTGCCGATGATTATGAGGCGTACAAAAGGCAGCGGAATCTATGCAACCGCGCAAAAGCGTCGGCAGTTCGAAGAGCAACTTGCAACCTCAGCGAAGACAGCTCCCAAGAAGATTTTTGCTTATGTTAAGCGGCGCCTGAGGCCCGCAAGTGATATAGCTGTGTTAGAGGGCACTGACGGACAGCTTCTGGCCTCCGCATTGGCGAAGCACTTCACTTTTGTATTTACAAAGCTCGATGTGTGCAGCGCCTACCGAACTCGCCAGCCTTGACGGCACAAAACCTGCCGGACCCGATGGATTTCACCCGCTTATCGGCCATCATCCCGCCTGCCGTGGCGGATTTGTTCAACAGATCGCCGTCCGAGGGTGTATTGCCGAGCGACTGGAAATGCTCGGTAGTGAAGCCGAAACTAAAAATCGGTGACGCATGCAATACGAATAATTACCGACCGATTTGGCTCACCTCTGTTTTGGCGAAGGTGCTGGAAAAGATTGTGAAAAGTGTTTTTCTCCAACTGCTGGAGTCAAAAGATCTCTCAACGCCGGCACAGCACGGCTTCATGAAGGGCCGCTCGTGCATCACCAACCTGTTGTTGACGCGGCAGGAATGGTTACAAGCGTTTAGCCGCGGGACACCAGTGGATGTTATCTATATTGACTTCATTAAGGCTTTCGATAAAGTGAACCATGAGTTCCTGCTCCACGAGATAAGGATGTGTGGTGTTGGTGGCACACTGCAACAGTGGATCAATGACTTCCTTATTGGGAGAAAATGGTGAGTACAGGTGTATGACCACCTAACGGACTGGTACCCCTCCACTGGCGGTGTATCCCAAGGCACAGTGCTGAGGCTAATTTGATTCCTGATCCACACAAACGAAACGCCTCCGCTTTTTCGGTCGACTTGTGCACTGTGTGCGGACGACTTGAAGATTTAGTGGATTATTAATTCTCCAGACGACTATGACGTCCGCCAGCAGGACTTCGATCGACTATCCCGGTGGTCTGCAGAAGTTGACCACCGATCAACCCGGCCAAGTCCTTGTTTGTGAGTCTGGGGAGGGATAGTAATGAGTGTGCGTACACCTTGGCTAGCCACGCACTGCATCCACCAATTTCGTAAAGGATCTAGGCGTACTCTCAGGCTGTGATCTGAAATCTGTCGACAACACGAACAGACTGTACGCAAACGGACTAAGCCTGCTGTGGGCACAGACACAGTTTCTGCACTTGGTATGAAGAGATTGCCACCCACCTTTTCTATTCGATGATAAGACCGGTGCTTGAGTACGGCTCACCCGTCTGTTGTCCGACCACAATAGGTGAGGTGCGAAGACTGGAAGGGGTAATGCATGTAGCTACTCGGCTCATCCCTAGTTTGCGGGGCGTCCTACGAGGACCGATATAGGAGACTAGGGCATTGTACCTTATCATATCGTCGTCTTCGAGTTGGTCTCATAATGACGTACCGCATATTGCACCTGGACCACTTACCTAATGTTGAGGCCGCTGCTGCACGTTCGCGCACCAAGCAGTACACGCGAATACCGGTACAAACTAGTTGTATCTGGTTTAAAGCGCATTGCTCACCCTCTATACTTCGAGCGTCGAGTGGTGAAATACTGGAACAAGTTGCTGGAGTCGCTAGTCGAGGCGAAATCGGTGTCCGAAGTTAAGAGATTCCTCGATGCCCACTTTCCGGACTACAGGTATAGGAAGCGCACCGCACCCGGATAAAATGTAGTGCAGCTGCAACATGCTGCCACCGCGCAGAAATCAGCGACGTGATTCTGCGGATGTGCCCGACTCACCTATGATGGGGCAACACAGTTTTTTTTTGATTTCTCGCTGTCTATTCTGAGTATTCAGTATTCTACGTGCGCATGCGCGTGAACAGTGGCTCGCAAAGAACTGACAACGCAAGTTCGCTTAAGTTATTTCAAAGCGGAGCATGGAGGCCAGATGTAAGGTAATGCTTGCATAATGTAAGTGATGCTGCAAAATAGACATTAGTTCAATTAGGGATAGAAGTTCTTGGTAGGAACCGATGTGAACAGAACGGAGTCATATGACTGCAAGTAAGAAATGATTCGAAGCGACGGTGGAATGAGAAGCCATACACAGAAGTTTCGGGAAGAAGCATGGGTGAAAAACATTGTTGCAGCATGTGTAATCGATAGCAGTGGATGAAGGACCAAAACTGACCGTCTACTTGATTACAAAATACCGAATGGGGGACGGAAGAGATGCCCAGCTAAGGTTCCTTTCATCTATATACAATCCACCGGAGGAACGTATTCGGTGGTTAGGAACCCGAATGAGTGTGTAAGAGCGAGAGAACCACAATAAAGTGGTCTGTGTCACTTAATCACCCAAAGTGCTAGGGGAAGTATAACACAGGTGAACAAGCTGAATGAACCGAACGGTATCCGGTTAGGGGAGGGATAGAATGAGAAAAGAAAGAGTCTGGAAACTAGTTGCCTTAAACCAGCACTAGTAGCACCCATCACCAGGCAGAAAACAAGGGACATGAAGATGATATTTTGAACGAGTAAAAAAGCCACGGCACGTAAGGCATTGAGAAAAATAACGAGGGCACCAATATAGGAGATTGTAGCAAGGGATGTGGGCAAGGCACAATGGAATGGTAGAAGTAGGAGAAATAGAAAAGTGATATCAAATGTGTTTTCTGATGGGCGTAACAACGAAACGAGGGTGCAAGCGAAAGGTGAGCATGTGACGCCCAAGGAAACCAAAGAGATAAGCAACCAATCCGATCGTCATAGCGATCACGTAATGACTGATGCTGGTTCCAATATCTAACCAACTGCCTTCGTCCCGTAACCAGACAAAGAAGTGCACAGCAACGAAGTTGGACATAGCGGTACACAATCCGGTCTGGATGACAGCTGAAGGCCTATACAGCTTCGGTTGCACGAAGTGGTCATTGCTCCATTGTACTGCTCCGTAAGCAACTCCGAGGTAAAGCATGGGACAAAGAACCTAAGTGGAGAACAAAAGTTGTGTTTGGTGTGAGGTAACCATGGGAGCAGGTGATAAATGTGGGCTCTACACGGAGCATGGACTGATACAAGGGACTCTGCTGATGGAACTTCAATGATTGCCTGCGAAACCACACCTAACACGAACAGCAGCGACAACAAACACAACACCGTCGCTGAAAGATGTCCACGGTCAGTGACAAGCCGCAGTCGACTAGTTACTAAAGGAGGCATAAGACCCGAAACCCTATTCGCGACGAAACCTGAGTGCACTCACATATGACTGAAATACACTAACAGAGTGCGGTGGAGTTAATCTTCTGATTAAGGAGTATAAACGAGGTCATTTAGCCACTGAGTTTGGAAGTTGTTCGAGGTTGTATATGACCAGCGTACCGTAGTATATACAAATATAGTTCCAGATTCACAATCGGTATGCTTTAGAAAGTGCTCACTTTTATAAGAAGAAACGGAGCCATCTGCGCCGGTTTCAATCTCGAGACGAAAACGTATGTTGATCGGGGATCAAAACTACGGAATACAAATAGACAATACAGATGAAAACAGCTGAGGGATATGACAAGAACTAAAAGGGTATAGTTGTAAGTGCCAAAAGGGGCCAGACACTCATCCTACAGAAGGAAACAGAAGTAATCAGACAAAATGAGGAATAAATCTTCCAAAGGTCCACAGCTAAATTAAGCAGCATGGCGAGATCCCGATCGCACTGGCTGATAATTCAGTAGGCTGGAAGACCAGAAAAAGAGTTAAACGGTTGGGGGAAACAAATAAGAAAATCGAATATGCGCAAAGATGGTCGAGTATGCAGTCAATTTAGATGATATCTCATCCACTTGTAACGACACTCAGTTACTAAACAACTAAACAGTTGCCTCGAAAAACTTCAAGATTTCGTTGCTATACATATAATGCTGCGCGGGTTCAAACGCGCGTAGCGCTGAGCGTCCTCGATGTATACTCAGCCCGCGTGCGACTGATGGTGGTCGCACGGCAGCGAAGCGCCGTTACGGCGGACAGCTGACACATTATTCTTATTATCACAAGAAAACTGAATAATTACGGTATGATCGAGTTGTGATAACGTGTTGTGCGTAAAAACAGAACTCTAAATTTAGAGCGCGTAGACGAGCAGCAGAAGGCTTTAGGTAAATGAACGCGAATGGAGTTATTTAAAACATTAGCTGAACAGTTGTCACATACATTAAAATGCTTAGTAATGATGTAGTCAGCCAGATACTCTCTGGGCACTCCACTACACCGGAAAATGAGCTTAATGGAACGAACAATCAATGTGAGGTCTTTTTGTAGAAGTCTGAGAAAAATGACTGACGAGCAATATAACCAGTGAGGTAAAATACAGGCAATCATGAATTTGAACTTAAAGGGCAGGGTACTGAAAGCATTTTTAGTATCAGGGCACTGAATGATAATTTTCGCACCTTGCGGAACGTTTCGTTGACCAAGATAGATTGAGACAAATGTACACCGACCCTTAACAGTGGATGAAATGGGCATATTGTGGTCGTCTGTGACCATGGGGCGTGAAGTGTTCGCTACAGTCAAACGTTTGTCAGTGCGGAGAAGAGACGCGTTGTGAATAAGGGATCAGGACGACAACTACTGCTGAAGCCCATCTAATCCGCTTTGGAGAGTCGTTGTTTACTTAGCAGTTGGACTATGTCGTCAGCGTACTTACATCCAATAAAGTTGGGAGAAATTGGAAGCAGTTCGATGTATAGAGAGAATGGAAGAGAGAAAGGATTGTTCGTGATAAAAAGCCTCAATCATCAGTAAGTGATGAATTTCTACCGTTTACATGAGCGAAAACAAGCGCGTTTACGAAGTGGTTGCTCATCAGGTTGCGCACTGCTGGTTGAACACAATTAGCAAACAGCTGATTAAGCAGGATTGATCTGTCGACGCTCCCAAAAGCATTATTGTAATGAAGCAGGAGCAGCCGCACAGTGTTGCATTCCGCATCCGATGAAGATGCTATTAAGTGAACAAGGTATGCTACGGCATCCAACGTGGGACGTCAGGGTTTGTACGCAAATTGAGCTACATCCACAGCCGGAGTGCTTGTTGAGATCAAAGGCAAAAACTACTCACTCAATGATTTTCAGCGTGACGTACGTACAGGCAATAGGACGGAATTTCATGGACCCCTTCTTTGGCATGGGTCTTACCCTGACAGACCTCCAAATGTCGGGGGTAATTCCACCGTGTATGCAGTGATTAAAATGATCCGTCAATGGCATGGTAAAAGTATCGGCACACTTTCAAGACAATTGGTATAAGAGCATGAAGCCCAATAGCCTACCTAGTTTTCAGATTCCTGATATAGTAAAGAGACAGATTAGTTGACCAACGAGCGTGGAGCAAATGAAAAATGAAAATTTGTGTGGGTGCAATACTCACCTATTCAGACTGGCAATATTACCTGTGCCAAAGAATGAAATCACCAGCAGGGATATCTGAATAAAAAAGCTGTTAAGGTATATGAAACCCAAGCGTTGTTAGAAAACACTAGTTAAACTGTGAACGTCAACTACGAGCACTAGACGAGAAGAAAATCAAAACCGCAATAGGCCAACAGCAGGTAAGGCACTATTGGTCAGATGATAATGGGCGTAATTCAAAGGAATGAATAAAGACAACGTTCAAAAGGAATAGGCTTTCCATGTATCAATTGCTATCTTCAGGGTAGCTGACACATTGTGCATTCGTTCCGACAGCGAAATGTGCTTCAACTTCACAATTTAAAAATCCTAGAATCGAAGTTGTCATAAAGCGATGGGAGATAGATCAAAGGAATGACGTGGGGAAGGATGACGAATGAGGAACATGTGGAAAATAATAGTCCAGTGGAGGAGTCGACGGAAAGACACAAGAGATGGATTACGGAAACGATGGTAACTCCACTGCTGCGTCGTGTTGAGTAACCTTACCGATCACTGATGTGGTTCATGCCAAGTTTCAAACAATTTCTCCACGCAACTATGCTGCATTATTGGCTGGCAACTCAATCAATTAGGGGCAGTGTCAGAAAAAACGCGTAGGCAACTAACGCGTATTAGAAAAATAGACCGAAGTGGTTTAAGAGCACGAGACCCATCATAGGTCGTATTCCAAAACCAATAGGCGGATATCAGTAATACTACTCTGAGACTACACAAGCCCCGGTCGCCAAAGAAGGGCAGTGTGCTGATAACAACAGCGAGCAGTGACCACGCAACATGTCCGTGACTGATCAGCTGATAGTACACCATACATCTTCATACAGGAGGTTTCAAAATACCACACACGAATCCGATGGATGCTTGCAGTCGGTTCGCCAGTGATGCGACCATAACTGATACAATGAACTGGATGAATGGGCTGAGCCCCCACGTTGAGTAGTGTGACCGGTAATCGGGAGAATCCGTGTGTCTCCGCAGACACGCGGTATCAGCTAGCAAGATGAAAGTGCTAAATACATTCAGAAGCATGCGGAACTGTATCAGCTTAGGCGCCAACTGACCCTCAGGAAACTCAGACCTGCATCAGTACCCTGCCAATAAGCTATACGGAGGATATGCTGAAGTAAACAACGCCTTGTGCCGACCCACGCACTGGCATTTGTAGAGTGGATCCTAGTCAAGGACAGTTCTAACCAGAGTACTCTTAGGTTATCAGTAGGTGCCACTTCCACTCCGTAGGACGCCGTCGCTTATGCTTAACTAAAGCTTAAAAGTGGGGGAAATTAGACTTCCGGTAACCTTCACACAAAGTACATATTGTGAGGAACTCAGAAGACAGTCTTGCATTGATCATTACTCGAGATGAGGAGTCGCGGCAGGGAGTTCAGAAAAGGATGAATTCGTCCCGGTACACCGGGCTAGATAGGCGGTAGAACAAACGGCTGCTATTGACTGAAGCAAAGGCTGAATCCAAGTTAAGGACAATCACCGTGCGTCGTTGCCTCAGGACTAGACGAAGTGCACATTTGTGTTCAGTTAAGGTGGATTGCTTTCAATGCCTGTAATCTCATAGAGACTAGCTGACCGCCGTTTCGAGGTGATAGTCAAGTGAAGTCAATATAGGCTTTAGGTACCCGAAAGGGTGTTTTCAGCCGAATGCCAAATTTATCGATGGAAAAATTAGCATCGGGTGCACAGGTGTCACCCGAATATGGTCCCGTATATATATATATATATATATATATATATATATATAATGATTCCCGTTGGAAAAGTGAATCATTGGCATTTGCTTTCTGTTGAAGTTACATGGTCGGATCCCAGTCTGTCAATCGGGACGATGGTTCTTTAAGTTACAAAAGCGTCTTTGTTGATTCACGCGTAGCAACCGCAGCATCTCAAAGCGCCTGTTAAAAACCAGCGCAATACAGCACCAGTGGCCTTGAAATAGTATAACCGAAGAAATGTCAATAATGTCCAGTGAACAATGTTAAATCCATGGCAGACAAAGTGAAAACGGTGTTCCAGTGAAATCGCAGCTGCCGATTTAAAGGCCCCGCCTTTCGAAGAATAAGGTTTCGATGATATTCGTATAGTCTTATGCAACTCGGATAAACTATGGTTGACAACCACAAGTTTGAAATTACTTCCCAAGTGTCACATATACTGCTTAGAGTAGTTGGCTCGGCCACAGGCCACATTCCTTAGTACTTCAAGGATGATTGAGAAAAGTTGCCTGCCAGTGTTCGTTGCGGCAGAACGAGCTCACTTCGAAGTAGAAGGCACGTGGCGTCAAAGACCCGTGAGTAATTAAGCGATTTAGCGAATGACAGCATTGCAGTAAACCCAAGTACGCGAGCAACTTGTCTGAGAATGCATCCATTGTCCAACTTTTTTAGGTATGGTCTGATTAAATCAAGGCCCTCATAGACCGCTGTTCTGAATGAGATGAAACAGTATTCAGCTGCCCGTAATCCCATTGTGTACCACAGACAGACTAGCGCCCACTATTCATCAACGCGCTGCTGGCATATAACAAAATTTCAAGTCAGACGTCCTTTCAGGTTTTTGCGGTTACTCTGAAGGTGAAAACCAAATGTAATAAACTCATATGCTTAAAAGAAATTAGGATGTGGTCCAGTAATCGGGCCACAACTCAGACGCCCCAAGTTTAGTGGACAAATGTCTACGGAAGAATCATCAAGGCACATTAAAGACGGTCATTGTCGGCATTCGGGTTATCCACGTCGCTCGTCAGCGACCAATGGGGAGCTGGTTCAACTTTTTATCGTTGAATTGCAGATGAGTATAAAGTTTAGAATTTTCGTAGTTCCTTGAGGTTGGGTGGCATAAGCACGCGGATAAACATGACTGGAATCCACATTGACTAAGGACCTATATCGACAAGCGCCATCTGCGGTGATGGTTGTATGGTTAATATTGGCACGGGTATCGTCTTGTTCAATAGGGGGCCAGATAAGCCGATGAGGGCAGCTGAGTTAGAGGGCGGTTGTGAACTGCAGGCAAGTGAAGACGCATATGGCTATCGTCCATTCGGTAAGCACCGAAATTGAAATGACCTGCTGTGCGTTGCTCAGAAGCCGACAAGCGACATATTTGACGGTTAGTATATCGTGGCCATGATGAGAGTTGCCAAGAAGTTATGGATTGGGTCATACGACGGAACAAAATACGGTACCGCGTCATCAAACGGTGCCTATTAGCGTAAACAGAAGTTCGCAGTGGATGCGCACACATGGGACTATGCAACCGGACCAAGTAGATCAGGTCAGCTCTAGTAGTTCACTTGAAGATAATACCGACACCATAAACACATTAGGCCATCGATACATCGTCACCAGAGAAGTGTGGAACAAAGTCATTCTCAGGAGATTCCGAGTTAATCGTGGATTCACGATGATGCGTAATTCGGCGCATACCGATTTCTACAGAGCGAGCACTGCAATAAAGAGGATTAGCTCTATCTGCTTCGATGGTTGACCACACAAGAATTTTTGTAAAGGGGATCCATGGGATCAAGGTAAAATAAAAAGGGCATGAGGTGAAAAGTTTAATCGAAATCTGATAGGTCATCTGGCAAATAATGACCCATATTGTCAGATTCAGCATCAAAAGAAAACCGAATACAGCCGGCGTTAAAAGGATACAAAGAACAGCGACTGACGAACATTCCTGCGCAACACAGATTCGCATTCGAGAGCCAGGAAAATACCGCTAAACGGTTCGGCCAAAAGGATGTTTGACGACCAGAGCTGAAAGTGAATCATACCATGGAACACACAGAATACCACATAATGAATACGAATAGCGAGCATATTTGAGCGAAGAAAGAGAATATGCGCGGTATAATCAACTGAACTGTAAGAACAGCAAGCGATAAAAGAAATCCCAGTGGCTTATGGATCAGCAAAACGGAAGGCTAACACTTCTGCGAATTCCGCGTCATACAATCCAGAATCGGAGGGCTGATAAGACATTTTAATGTACCCAAACAACCCACAAACTAAGAAACGGGACAAAATTCCGCGTGAGTTGGTTCACTGACTCATGGCGCACGGCCCTCTGTTTTTCGGTTGTATACTTTACCGATGGCTTTGGCTGAGGACCCGAGTCGCTCTCCTGTCAGGTGTGGACACCTGTCGCGGGTCCGCCAAATATCCCGCAAAAACGCACCAGAAATTCCGGCAGAAAGGCTGTGGGAAGAGGGGCCCAATTCCTCCTCACAACGTAGCAGAATTCAGCCACTCCGAGACGCGGCCCAACTGCGCACGTTTTGACAATGGTCTTTTACAAACTATCACCTTGTCGTGGTAGAAATTTCCCCTAACTTAATGACCCATAGCATTGACTGTGATTCGCCCTTTGTTGGTCGTAAAAGAGTCTTCAGAGGACCACTTGCCTTTTTTCCATTTCGCCTTAGTTGGGAGTTGGTCAGTCACGTGATTTTGTGCGCGTCGTTAGCCTGGTAGCGTTCGCGTCACTAGTGCGCGTCTACCGTAACCCCCTCTCGTGTGCGTCCGTTCCGAGGGCTCAGCGTCTACCCGAATACGTGCGGCTAGCATCGTTCTCACGCTCGCTCAATTTCCATCTCACCAGCGCGTACCCCGGACTAAGTTAACGCCGTCAGGTCAACGCAAATCCGTTCGACTGGCTAGCGTTCCAATCCGTTACCGTAGGCGTACTCCAATCGTGCCAGTGACAATCTTATCAGGCATCTACGCGATCATAACGGAGGCGCTTCCCCAGTTATAACAACACCCTAGCAGTATGCTTGTCCAACTCCCAACTATGAAGCACGCTGCATCCGCCGTCGTGCAGTGGCCTTAAGAAAGGGTCGCCTAATGTGCTACACACAGCGGAGTAAATAAACGAAAACATGCTACTGCTGGCGCGTCCCTTCTTTCTTCTTCCTCTGCACACACTCCCCGTCCCCGTTTCACCTAACCCACTCATTCCTTCAATCCAAATCGTCACCATCTATACGGTTGCCTGCCAACGCAATCGTATCCTCCCGCGCAAAGCGCTCATCTGGTGGTGGAACGTGCGCACGTTGCTCGACCGAAATACGAGTGAGCGTCCCGAGCGACGCACTGCACTGGTCATGATGGAACTTGCGCGTTACGGGATTGAGATTGCAGCACTCAAGGAGGCTTGGCTCGCTGACCAAGGCAAGCTGCAGGAGCTTGGTGCTGGTTACACGTTCTACTGGCTGGGAAACGCCACGTCAGCAATATCCGATCGAGAAATTGGCAGCTGGTGACAGAGTTGACTGGTATCAGTCCCCGACTGATGACTCTGCTTGCGACTTGGACAGGGTAAATTTGCCACTTTTATTGGCCCATATGGTCCAACCATATGTTACATTGATGACACTAAAGATCAGTTTTACACTCAGTTGTCCCATACGAACTGTGCCGAGAAGCGACCGGCTGTCCTTACTGGGTGATTTCATCGCACGCGTTGGGCGTGATGCCGCGGTGTGGACAGATGTCATCGGTACAGCCAGTGGGAACAGAAACCGATCAAGAACACTCGGTTTGCATTGGGTGCGAGTGAGATAGTTACCTGAACGCATCCACGGAGTGCACTCACCTGCTCGACTATGTCATGGCACACCAGTGTGACGTACGTGAAATGCGCATGACAGGTGTAATGCTTGGAGCTGAGTGTGCCACTGATCACAAATTGGTGCGGACCAAAATGCACATATATTTTCGTAAATCTATGTATTGCACTCCTGCGGTGAATCGGCGGAAATATAAGGTTCTTTCCCTAGGTACTGCTGAGAGGAAGATGGAAAAGGAGAAGGCGATGGTCAATTGCCTTGTTTCTGTGGAATGCATAGCTACAGTGGGCGACCTGTGGCACCACATCCGTAAAAAGGTGACGGCTGTTGACGAAGAAACGGTCGGAAGCGCTAACTGTAAGCAGTCCGATTGGTTTGATGACAACAGTGCGGCCATTGGTGCATTGGTGTCGGTGAACAATGCAGCATTCGTTGCACATGTGGCGGACCCTTCTAATTGCGAAGAGAGGCATTTTCGCCAACTTCGACGGCGATGGACTCGAGAACTCCGTCGCATCAAGAATCAATGGTGAACGGAGAAGTCGAAGCAGATGGAATGCTACGCCGAACACCACTAGCATAAAGAAATCTTTGGCACCTAAAAGGCTGAGGATGGTGCGCGATCCTATTTCAGGTACTTCATATACAGACTGCAGATCTGGCGAAAACACCTTGATTGTCTCTTGAAAAACCGTTCAGAGATTGACTGGATTGCGTTGCACAGGACGCAACAACAAGTGATGATGATGTGTCTTACCGACACACTGACACTGGATGAGACGCAGAGAGCACTTGCTCAGCTGCGAAACCGCGTGTCGGTGCTGACGGGATCCCGCCTGAGGTAATGAAACACAGTGGACTCGTGTTGGTAAATGCACTGCATCATTTGATGCAACGCGTGTAGTTTGAAGTGCCGGGCGAGCAGAGCAATGCCCTTGTGCAAGAAATGTTGCACGAAATATCATGGTATCCACTTGCTGAGCTGTGTGGGGAAAATGATCGCCCGAAACCTGCTCAATCGCCTCGTCACTCAGGTCGTTGAACCGAACGTGGCGGAAGAGCAATTTGCATTCCGTTCGGGTCGCAGCACTATAGATATGGTGTTTGTGGCTCGTCCGTGGCAGAAGAAGTGTAGAGAATAACACTAGTCGTTGTACTCGCTGTATGGTGATTTCACCAAGGCATTTGATATGGTGAACCGGGAGGCATTGTAACTGGTGTTTGATAAGTCTGTTTGTCCGAATAATTTGTAAGTTTAGTTGAATGTCTGCATAGTGGTATGCGGGAGAGGGTGCAGCTGAGTGGACAAACCTCGGATGACTTTACAGTTGTCTCTCGTGTGAAGCAAGGTTGTTTCTTGGCTCTTGCTCCGTTTAATATTTACCTTCACACAATGATGTGTTGTACTTCTGATACTGTTTGTGAATACGGTGTACGTGTGGAACATCGTATTGATGGTGGGTTGCTGAACATCCGTTGTTTCGGTGTGAGAACTAGTCTGTAAGACAACTATCTGTATATTGCTGTTTGCTGACGACTGTGCGTTGTTTGCACACAGCGCGGATGAGTTGCAGCACATGACTAGTGTTCTGGCATCGACAGCAGCCAAATCCGAGCTCACCATCAAAACAAGCACGACTGTGTGTCTTTGTCTGCCTACACTACAAATGCAATCCGTATGTCTGCCGCGAATCCATATCGATGATAAGGTCTTGGAAACCACTCCGAGGTTTTGGTACCTGGGTATTGTACTTTCGATCGATTTACAGACGATGAGCGTGCAACCTGTCCACCTATCAAATGCGGCTGCTGCGTTTGGAAAATTGGAAAAGCGTGTGTGGAACCACCACCAGCTCACTGTCAGGAGGAAGCTGCTGTTAAAAAAAAGTCTATGGTGCGGTCCGTTCTATACGGCAGCGAGACCTGGACGCTTTACTGGAAGGATGTCCGTTAGCTGAAGCACCTCCATCGGCAGTGTCTACGTCGTATTCTGCTCAACGGCTGGCTTGACTGAGTTGCAGACATGGAGGTGCTCTGACGCAGTGGACTGCATACTGCTGCTGAGGCATTTGAGATGGCTCGAGCATATTTGCCACATGGATTAGACCCGGATACCGAAACAGCTGGTTTGTGGCCAATTGCGTGCAGGGAAGCGGCAGGTGGGAAAACCGAAGTTAGGTCACCGGGACATGATAAGGGTGAGTTTATCACGAACTAATGTTGACTTCAGGTGTTGGGAATCGATGGCAGTGGATCGGCGCGGATGGTGAGAGCATGTAAAGAGAGCGGTTGGCCAGGTGCAAAAAAGCATAACTGCATTCGGATAAGGAAAGTCGGTTAAGAGAGTGACAAGTGTCGGTGGTGAATACCTCATCGACGTCGAGCGCATTGTGCTGTAGCACATGCGGTCGCGAGTGCCTCAGCCAAGCGGGTTTGGTAAGCAACAGCGCCGCCACGTTGGGCCAAATTTAAGAAGAGGAGTATGCTAAATGTGTAGTCATCATCAGCGCGGTGCTTGGTAAGTTCGCTGCTTCCGACTCAATTTACTAACCCAGAACAATAAGGCAGATGGTGTGGTAGGTGTGCCGCATCGTTGTTACAGTTTGTGTGTGCTAATGCTGCATGCTGGGTTTTCTTGTATTTCAGATGTTAGCTGTTGATTGATATCCCCAGTGTGGTTGCGTCTGATTTGAATGTTGACAAGGTGCCTACCTGTCGCTTACCCACCACCTCGTCTATACTGGGTACAGGAGACAGTCGTTGCTGGAGGGGACGGGGTGCACGGTGCTTGTGGTCGTGCTAGGCTCGAAGAGTGGTTCTATGCACTCAGTGTGGAGCGAACTAGGGTCCCAAAATCACCGCCTTGTGTGCGATTGATTCCCAAATGCAGCGTGCTTGCGTTTGCTTTGAAGGAGTGTGGGCCGGCTCCGCTGATGAAAGGTGGCTCCCATCCACGTGCCTCCCGGTCTTATTCCTTCGGGTTTACACTGGATATGGGGTGTGTGGATAGTGCAGCGCAAGTCACCCATGGTCCCTCTGTACGCGCAGGTTTCCTGTGGCTGGCAAATCCGGAACCGGGTGTTGATAAGCATGCACACAGCGGGTGGGTGCCTTGGGCACACAATTTCCCTGCGGCTGATCTGAATGATGGCGCTAGCTACAGTGCAACGATACCGCTCCTCTATCTGCATAGGTGTTTATTCTGTTGAAATGCCATCGTCGACAAGGTGGTCACTAAAATGGATAAGACAATCGGATTCATCAGCCAACCGACCATAGCGAGTCGTTTCTAGTTGGCTGCTGGAATGGGAGAACAAACAGCATCAATAACACAAATCTATGTTGCGTGTATGCCCAAAAACATTGCGACATGAACCAATGTAATCGGGTGCAATTGCGCATAGGCTGAGAATGAACCCAACATTTTATTACCATTAGACCACCAAGCAAAAATGTTAATCAGAACGAAACATGTGAATCAAAACCATGATTCGTCATTTTAGTGGAAAAGGTATGTGCTGCAGGCACCCCTACCTCACAGTAAACTCGAGTGACAAGAATGCAGCCTAGAGGGGGACTGCACTGGTCGTGTTCACTGATAAGCGCACCGCAAGCGAGGGAGGCCGAACGACGCATTTGAGCCGTTGAAATGCAAAACTAAAGGTAATGCACTATTTTCGGAGCAAAGCACATACTCACTGTAAAGTCCCAAACAACGAATTCCTGTACCAGATGGAGTATTCCCTATTGATGGCTCATTGATCCTATCCCCACCTCTTATCAACTTCAGAGGTAGTGCAGTACAACCTATCTATGGAGAGCACTCAATGGACTGACAAAAGTGGTCGCCTTGGACAGGTTCATGCATGGAGACATTGCTCATAGGAGAACACGTTAGGGATATTTTTGGTTGGTCGCCAAAGGCAGGTGATCAATATAGACAGATGGTCACAGCAGGTTGGAGTGTAACATGCGTTTCGTGCTTCAGCCTATTACATGCTTACCCTTCATTTGCATGTACTTCTCATAAAGTCAAGCTTTCATCAGTCTGCTATTAACATTACTCCTACTGTTATCTGTTTCCGCCCGCAGTTGCAAACGTAGCTGTGCCCATTAGAACCACGGTTACAGGATCATATTACAAATTCTTCTGTTCAGACCGTTCGTATTGTCTAGATTTAAAGCTCGAAGTGGCAATATTTATATACAATACGTGTGGCATAATCCGATTTGGCGTTGTTACGTCGCTATCCTCACTGTGGAAACGGGGGTGTGAGCTGATGTCAATTACTGAGGTTCGGGAAAAGCAGGATCACTCGGATACATTGCCAGAGTGGGGTGAGTGCCATTTGCAAGCGGTCAGTCGACCGTGCCATTGTTTGGGAATTCGAGCCATGAGGAAACATGTTACAAAGCTCCGAGCAAACTGATTGAAACGGACATAGCAAAAAGAAAAGCAACACTGTTACGAGTACAAGGAAGAAAAAATGATAAAAGCTCACGTAAGATGAATGCATCCCTTGTGTCTCCAGTTGTATCCACAACAGACCAACGGTGGCGAAAACGATGAAAAAGATAGGTTCATAGCTGAAACGAAAAAAGAACAGCGTAAATTACGTCATCTCCGCTGATAGATGAGTCGGAGAAGTTGGTACCTAGTGGATCATGGTGAGTTGCTTAATTCAGCTGTCAGTCAACCGGAATTGGACCTTAGCGATGCGATTAACGATCTCCGGTTAGTCCTTTCATGGCTGTGTGAAAAAGAGTATTTCTTGTTGGATTTTTCTGTGTAATGGAATTAGTCGTGGAAATAACAATGTCATTTCAGAACCTGAATTTTTGATTGCAAATACTTGTGTTTTCTCCGTTTCGGAGATTTTGTCATCGCTTGCATTTCACTAGTTGTCGCCATATTGGTCCGTTTAATCTAACTGCTCCAAGACTGTCGGACATCTGGCAAATGTCGTCACCTGTGTCACGTTAATATCTACATTTCAAGCATTAGAGCAACAAATGAACATTCTTTACGTCTTCCTTCAGACCATGCCAAAAGGAGATACAATTAGAAGCAGCAGAGCACTGTGACACAAGCCGGTGCGCAGACGGAATCATTCGGTTGCGAGCAGCTACGTGTGTTGGGTCTAACCCGAAGCGTCCCCATATTTCAGGTCATCTTGCTTGTCCCGTGTCAGTTTACAGTACGAAGTCTTGCCAATGCGAGTAGTCCAGTTTCACTTGACACAAATTCTTTACTTGTGTAGTGTTTTACGCGCACAAAAGTCCCAGTATGTTGAGGCCTGAGTACGGAAGACCCCTCGAAGGAAGAAGAAAAACAGAAGAATGAAAGGACCTCATCCACTGTAGGTCAAACGGCTGACCGGACTACATGAAGCTCAGGATATCCATCATACTGCAACACCAACCTCTACAGCCGGAGGCGTTCGGATCATGTGATCTCCGTTCCAAAACCCAGGATGTACCACGAACATGACATCATGTTACTGCAAGGTCTAACTGAAGGACTCCTTGAGGTGTACGATGGCAGGTTTAAAGTAAAACAAATTACACTTCGGAAAAGTGGTCAACAAAAGCGATCTATGGAGTCATCTATGGACACGAAGCTACCCCGTGTCTCTATTAGCAGCGGTGCAGATTGCGTAACAAATGTTGTCCTCTCTAGTTCGATTGACGATTACGAAGAAGCAGCGGAATATTTGCAACGAAATAAAGACGGTGAAGTGCTGGTAGTTCAAAAAAGCTTGTAATCGTCAAGAAGACCGCCCCGAAAAGAATCCTTGCTTACGTGAGGTGGCACCTGAGACGGACGGGTGACCTACCAGTGATAGAGGGCGCATGCAGGCCGTACCAAACTTCAAGCACTGGTCTTGCGTCCGCAATGGCAGAGCATTTCGTTTCCATATGCACAAACGACTAGGTGTCGGTACCGAGTTCGAAGTATGCCGTTCTAGCCGAACAAAGTTTGCATTATCGTGCTGCGAAGGCATGTCAGCTACTCGAAAAGTTTGACGGCACAAGCCTGATGGTCCTAACAGGTTTCATCCGCTGATCTTCAAGTTGTTATCGGCCAACATCTCGTCTTCCGTGACTGAGCAGTACAAGAGGTTAATTATCGAGTGAGTAGAAATGCTCAGTGGAAAGGTCGATTTCAAAAAGCAATGACCCCAGTGAAGTGCCCTGTGGTATATGCCAATTTGTTTGATATCCATTTGAAACAAGGTGGCCCAGAAGATTGTGGGGAGTCTACTACAGCTGTTTCGGTTATAACATTTACTGGCGCCCGCAAAGCTGAGTTTCATACCACGTCGTCAATACATTGCCAACCTGCCGTCGCAAAGAGACTGGACCATAACGTTGTGCGATGGTTTACGTACCTCCTTGACCCACTGAACTATACTGGATACATGAAATGCCGTCCTATCGCCTGTACGTGCGTCACGCTGAAAATCTTAGAGTGAGTACTTGTGCCTTCGCACTCTGGCTGTGGATGTATCTCAAATTGCTTACAGACCCTGACGTCCCACGTTGGATGCAGTAGCATACCCTGTTCGCTTAATAGCATTTTCGTCGGATGCGGAACGCAAGACTGTGCGGCTGCTCCTGCTTCATTACAATAACGCTTTTGGGAGCGTCAACAGATCGATCCTACTTAATCAGCTGTTTGCTAATTGTGTTCAACCAGAAGTGTGCAGCCTGATGACCAGCCACTTCGTAAACCCGCTTGTTTTGGCCCATGTAAACGGTAAAAATTCATCACTTACTGATGATTGAGGCTTTTTATCACGGACAATCCTTTCTCTCTTCCATTCTCTCTATACATCGAACTGCTTCCAATTTCTCCCAACTTTATTGGATGTAAGTACGCTGACGACGTAGTCCAACTCCTAAGTAAACAACGACTCTCCTAAGCGGATTAGATGAGCTTCAGCAGTAGTTGTTGTCCTGATCCCTTATTCACAACGCGTCTCTTTTTTCCGCACTGACAAACGTTTGACTGTAGCGAACACTTCTCGCCTCATGGTCATAGGCGACCACAACATACCCAGTTCATCCATTGTTAAGTATCGGTGTACATTTGTCTCACAAGTTAACTTGGTCAACACACGTCAACGAAACGTTCCGCAAGGTGCGAAAATTATCATTCTATGCTCTGATACTAAAAATGCTTTCAGTACCCTGCCCTTTAAGTTCAAATTCATGATTGCCTGTATTTTACCTCACTGCTTATAGTGCTCGTCAGTCATTTTTCTCAGACTTCTACAAAAAGACTTCACATTGATTGTGCGTTCCATTAAGCTCATTTCCAGGTGTAGTGGAGTGCCCAGAGAGCATCTGACTGACTACATCGTTACTAAGCATTTTAATGTATGTGACAACTGTTCAGTTAATGTTTTAAATGACTCCTTTCACTCCGTTCGCACTGATTTACCTAAAGCCTTCTGCTGCTCGTCTACGCGCTCTAAATTTAGAGTTCTGTTTTTACGCATAACACGTTATTACAACTCGATCATACCGTAATTATTCAGTTTTCTTGTGATAATAAGAATAATGTGTCAGCTGTCCGCCGTAACGGCGCTTCGCTGCCGTGCGACCACCACCAGTCGCACGCGGGCTGAGTATACATCGAGGACGCTCACCGCTACGCGGATTCGAACCCGCGCCGTAAGATTACGAGACAGGCTCGTTACTTCTAGACCACGGGCCGACTTTCTTGTGAACTACAAAAAGGTTATCAGCACCACGCGTGAACGTTTACTTGAGTGATGTGCATGTATGTTTGCTTCTTTTTACGCTTTTATTGCAATTTCATGCAAATGTTAAGCCTCGTTGCATCCGCGGTGCTAGTGTAAAATGCCGAAAATGTTCCCAGTCGGGTTCATGAAACCTGTTTTGACTTGATCTGAATGCTAAGACGTTTGAAATTGCCAAAGCCAACAGCTGCGTAAACAGAATGGATGGAGTAGAGTGCTCGAATGTGTTGCGGGCTGTCTTAATCCGGCCAGTTTGAGGGGCGCCGGCGGACGGATCTGGGGCAGAGCGCGAGCATCAAGCCACTCGCAACCTCATCGTAGGCAGAGACACGTGTGACGACATCGTACAATGGATTGCCTGGGCCCTTACCATCCGTAATGTGTCACTTGAAATGACACGTTGATCTGTAACTTGATTACCATCCTACTTACATCTCGGTCGCCGCGAGCATTGTCCCAGTTTGCCATAAATCCCACACCAATTACCCGCTGGTTCACATGGCGTGACGAAGCGTTTGTGCCAAAAGCAAAGTGTTATCCTCCAATGACTGAAGTACTAACAAATGACACCTTTTTAACGTTCTCGACATAAGTTCGATGTTATGCATATTAAAAGTTCTACATGTTTCCACAATGCAGTATTCAGATGAATAAATATTGATCGTTACATCACAAGGAATAGGGACGGAATACAGGGGAACAAAAAGGAGGAAAACCAAGGAAGGACGTTAGATGGCAGTTTCCCCAAAAAATAACACAGCCAAAACGGCCACCAGACATAAATCGGACTGTATGCAATAGAATATCATCACAGTCCCTAGGGATGCTGTTCCTGGTATCCAAAGTTGGAGGGTTTTCGTAATCAATGTACAACTAATGGTAGTAACATAAACAACAGGATTGCAGTCTCGACTAGTGGAAGTTGCAGAGAGGTTTCAGTGAAGTGCAACTTACCCGGTGCTCAACAGCACGTTCAATGTGAGGAGCGCGGAAAACCAGCAAAAGACCCGCATTCCCAGTCGAGGAGGACACCACAAGAAGACGATCACGGGAAGAGAGACTGGTGACAAAAGAGATTGAGAAGAAGTGTCGTGATCAAGCAAATCGCATGTAACAAGGGGTTGGTGCATGTAGATGTGGTGGCATCAGAACGGCTAATCTAGGACGCACATAGCAAGAAAGTAACGGGGCCATATTCAGAACAACGGTTTAGTAAGGATAAAAAGTTTAACATATAACTCGCTCATGCGCAAGCCTTCAGTGGCAGAGGGGTTGCCCCAGTGATGCAATGAAGTAGGCAGGAAAAGCCTCCACTGCGTTGGATCAATATCGGACCTGCTGCGTCAAGCGTTGCTTGCGGAGCTCAACGGCATAGTGATCATGGCGATAGTCCCCAACCACTATGGGCCGAATTCTACTCCCAATTCAGACTATCTCTACCTGATGAGTCCAAGCAAACGAAACGCGTTACGTCGCAGTGATGGGAGAAAGCAACACCGAACCTCTCCACTCCGGATACAGTCCCAGTGATATGAATGGCAGAGACTGGCTTTAAAGTCAACGGAGGCCACAACTGAGAGTGTGGCCTAGACGGGTGCGCCAAAATCCGACGATCAACTTGCAACTGCTGGGTCAAGCACTGCTCGTGCAGCTCACTGGCTTAGCGATTATAGTAATAGTCGCCGACTACTATGTGCCGAGTTCCACTCCCAGCTCAGGCTATCACTACCTAATGAGTCCAAACAAGGAGGAAAGGCCTCGTGAGTGTAGGGTTAGAAGCGAACAGCACCAAAGTTCATCACATCGGACCCGCTTGGCTCAACAAATTACGATGCAGCTAAGTTGGGTGAATTTAAGCGCTTGAAACAAAAGGCTAGCTCCTACTGTAGTTACCGTAGTCCTGAAGAAATAGCATGTCTTTTTAGAGGATAAGTCCGATGATACTGAATATGATGCAAAGGATCGAGTAATCGGAATAACGAGAACAAGGAGAAATGGTCTGCAAAGTACCAAACGACTACAAATGTAATATTCGCCGGTCGAACGATGAGTTTCGTGTCCTCAATGAACTACGGCAGTACTAGAAAATACAGTTAGGGGAAATGAACAAATCTCAGCCGTTCAGGACCGGCATATTAGCGCCAACAACGGGATGACATAGACGGGTGGGGAAGAAAAATAGCTATAGAAACCACTGTTCAAAGCAGGCAGTCGGTGGACAAAGGAGTACAGGACAAACGTGTGGAACTATTACCGAATACACAGTGGCCAACCACTGACCGTCTAATCACTGTGAAAAGGGTGGGGGGTGGAGCACACGCATACACACCGAAAGCAATAGTCAAGTGGTGAGCTCCTGCGCATCGCTAAGAAAATGTGGCAACATCGTGTAGATAGAGGCACTACAGCAGGTGCATGAAGATCTGTTGCAGTCGACGCAAATAAAAATTGGGTCAAATATCCGAACAGATATGGATGTGAGGAAGGTATAAGGAAGTGGTAAGCGAAGGTGATATGGGTGTAGGCGGGTGAACATACAACAATGCAAGTTTACAAGAGGAAGGTCTAACAAGATGCGGTTTCCATGATTTCGTCAAAGGAGAAACTAAAAGAGGGTGACAACAGACATCCTAGTCTCACAATACTGGGCGGCGACAGTGGCATAAGCACTGATTCTGCCCGAAGTACACGCATAAAGCGCTCTGATAATGTTTACGTACTTCACGGATACACTTTTTAGGCAGGCGCTTCCAACGGGTACACTGATCCAGCGACACGACAACAGTAGGTCGCCAATCTACGTGGTAGTTCTTCAACAACAGACATAAGGTGAGGATGTGGTCAATACTAACACGGTTTAGACGACGTCCGGTTTGACGTGCCCGGAGCTGACTTTCACGGGTGCCAGTCAAATTGGGAAAAAGGATGGAGTCAAGGAACTGAGAGGCGACTGAGAAGAGACTGACCCTTCTATGATTTCCGCCTACCAAATGTGAGGCCAGCTGAAAATTTGGACGGTAAAGTAGCAACTTCAGCCGGACGGTACAGTTGCCTGCTTTCTATAACTTCACTAATACGTTGTATAAAGCATATATAACAACAGGTCTCCGGGTTTAATGGGAGATAGAGCAAGTCCATCTTGTAAAGTAGCCTTATTTAATTTCAACTATACGATTGCAATGATTCGGAATACCTGTAGCTCAGATTGGTAGTTAACGTTTTGAATCGTTCCCCGAGCTGAGTAATTTAGTGGCAAAAGTTTCACCACCTCGTTCAGTGGCACCTTCAATGCAATGCTGCGTAGAGGAAAATGTCACAGAAGGTGTCGTCGGGACATAGCGTTTGAAAATGGCGTTGAGATCTGTGACGATGCACCTCGATGAGGAAGGACACAACGTTAACTGGGACAACATAGAAATTCTGGCGCGCGAAGGGACAAGAGAAGGAAGTGAATTCCTCCAGGCATGGTTCTCTACGGAGAATGCAGTCAACCTTCGCATTGACCTCGATCCTGTGTACCTATAGCCGAGACAGCGCGAAACTGGGTGGCCGAAAAGCGAACAGAGGTCACGGGACACAGATCGACGTAGTTAATTTAAAACGCTACATCCCGACGAGACTTTCCGTGAGATTTTCCTCTACGCAGCAGTGTACCGAAGATGCCATGGAGCGACGTGGTGAAACGTTTGTCATTAAATTACTCAGCTTGGAGAACGAATCAAAACGTCAACTATACGATCTTACGTCTGACTTATGCGGGAAAGAAAGAGTGGATCCAAAGGAACGGTCCAGGGGACATGACGATTACTGACCGATAAGGATACTGATGGGAATGGCCGAATAAATTGCTTTTCAGTGTTTAAAGCAATGCCATAAGAATTTGACAGGTTATGGATGGACCGTCCCCTCTTTTCGTACATAGCTTTGTTACAACTTTAGCTCATGTTACCAGCATGAAACCGAATAGCTTCCGATGGCCACGAATGGTAGCAACCATTTTCATCTCCGACGAACGGTTGGACTATCAGACTAGGCAGTCTCTTTTTAGGGCATTACACAACTTTGACAAGAGATTTTTGCCAGTCTCATCGTATACACCTCCAGCTGGGATTTGTCAACTAGCGTCACGAAATGCAAGAGACTGAAAAGGTTAGCATTCGGACTTGCCACATGAAGACACACCTATGACCGATGGCGCTCAAAGGCGTTCAGTGAGCACCTAATCACGTCAGACACCAATGTGAGTTGATACGCATTCCGAACATCTAGATTTATCAGTTGGCAAGTGTCTATGCGCCTGCAGAACAGTCGCGGGCGTGCGCCGAAACGCCCCCGAAGATAAGCACACAAAGTACATAGTCGGAGTCCACGCTTGTGCTCCAAATTCAGTAGCAGTTCGCAGTGCGATCGCTCCAATAGTAACTGACCGCGATGGGATAAGTTTTGGTCTATGGTTCACACGAGGATGGTAGCTGTCATGTCACCATGCGGTGGGTCCTGTGTTGGACAAGCATCTTCATGATAAGGTAGCAACTGTGCACTGTTATCATTAATAGAATTTACACCGGCTTGGCCGGCATTTCAAGATGAATTGTCCCTTGATAAACGCCCCAGTAACGCATGAAGCGGATAGCAGTGTGACTCTTGTAGACGGGTCTCCAATAGGCAGCAGACGTGGATCGTAGGGTATCAAATGTCTAGGCAAATGCCGCCTGTTGACCGATTTGTGACGAAGTGCGCGGTTTGAATCATGCCAATCCTAGCGAGTACCCAGGACTCCAATTGGAAACGGTTATGCGTGGGTCTATCAATCGTGTGTGAGTCGACACCAAAAAACGTCTGTCAAAGATTCATGAAATGGTACGGGTGGTTAAAAAGAGGAAGGAGAAAAGCAGTTAGAAAGAGGCGATGGAAGAAGCAAAATCAAGGGCCAATGCAGAGGCATCCTCAGTGCTATTCACCTCCGCTGGATGCAGTAGATCGGACGCCCGATGATTAACCTACGTGACGATCGGAGCATCAGGAAATTGTTTGAAGAGGCTTTTAACATCACCAGCGTAAGCGGGCGTCCGGTTGTATCAACAGGTGCAGATGGTCCGGCGAAACGCAAAGGGCGGTAAAGGAGGCTCCGAGGACGTTAAATGAGGTCCGGAGCGGCTGAAGTATAGGTCACAGACGACTCAATAAGAAAAGCTAATGCGTATTAATTAGGATGAAGGTAACTTACTCAGTGTGCTCCAGCCAAGAAAGCGAATGATTACTCTCACACATGGCAGGAAACCCCAGCTTGAGTGAACAATCCCGACGAGGCAACTCGATAGTCCAACCATGAAAATCTGAAACCAAATTCCCAATTGCGAAAGTGAGTCATGGTTTTTTTAAACCACATGTGTTATCAGCTGGAGAATTTACGCTGATGCGGTAGACGGGAAGTGAAACAACGAGATTATTGCAGAGAGGGCGTGGGTTAAACGGGTACACATTGGACCACCACATGCTGTCGTTCGATTCCAAACACTTGGTCGTTACAAGGAAATTGAAGCTGTGTGACCTGACATGAAATTGTGCATTAAGCAGAGGGGCACATATCAGACGGTCCTACGGCAATAAGACAACAGACGCCGGATTTTTTCCAGTTAAGCCCCGTCACTAATGCAAAAAGAGCACGCGCAAAAAGTTAAGCCCCGCCACTAAGGCAAAAAGGGTACACCTGAAAAGTCAAGCCCCATCAATAGTGCAAAAAGGGCACGCGTGAAAAGTTGAGCCCCGCCACTGTTTGCCAGCTCCAGTGTACGTAATGCATGTGAACGTGCCCCATAAAAACACTCCTTATCCGCTTCTAAGGTCATTTTTGTTCAAAAAGTTTCTACGTTCGCACGTAAAACCTGACATGAACTTTCTGACGTTATCGGCGGTCGTTCATGACAAGGAAACAGCAATACGTTTTTTGCAAAGCCATGGAGTGATTCATCATCAACGTTTATGCAGACGAGGACACCAAATGACACTTTCAACTGTTTCTGACGGGTGGAGGTGTGATGCCCGACAGTGTCGGCAAGAAATCGGTCTTCGAAAGGGAACTTGGCTGGAGCGGTCTAGGATGGATTTCAGGACAATAATCCTATTCATTTATTGCTGGTCCAAAAATCTGACAACAATCAAATTCTGCTCAGAGGAGTTATCTATTGGCCACGCGACCGCTGTCGACTGGAAGAATGTTCTGCGTGAAATTTGCGCCTGACAGCTTTTGCAGACTCCAACGATTGTCGGCGGCCCAGGTCTACATGTCGAGATCGATGAAACCCTAATATCACGTCGTAAAAACCATGCAGGGCGAGTCCTTCCTCAGCAGTGGATTTTCGTAGGGATTTGCCGGGAGACTAAAGAAGTATTCTTGTATGCAGTGCCAGATCGAACTGCGGCCACTCTGCTGGACACAATCCAGGCCTGCATCGCTCCCGGCTCAATTATCATTTCCGATATATGGGCAGCATACCAATGCATTGAATCGATGATTGGCATGAGTTATACTCATCAAACGGTTAATCATACCGAAAACTTTGTGGATCCAACGACTGGAGCTCACACACAAACCATCGAATCTCTCTGGCACATTTACAAGATGCAGAATAAGCGCCAATGCGGAACACACCGATCTTTAGTGGACAGCTACCTGTGTGAGTTCGTTTGGAGGCAAAGACACCGAAAATGGACCTTTTCATGCAAATTATTAATGACTTGTCTCAATTTCACCCTCTTCAATAGAGAGTAAAAGTTCAAGTTCCATATCCTTCCTTTTCATAATCTCTTTTGGGTGGCGGGGCTTAACTGGAAAAGATCCTAGACGCCTTTACACATGCGCATGGTGGGGCAGTATCTCATCATGGCGATATGTGGACTAGGAACAAACGAGACAACTGGCATCCTGCCTCGATCGAGGATAAATGAAGCATATGCGACCGAGGTATGGGTGCCAGAATCTGAGGTTGTGTAAGTGTAGAGCTAACGGTGATGATCACACAAACAAGCAAAATGAAAATGGAAATTAATCAAAGGCAAGGCGATAAATCTTGGAACAAAGTTAAAACTGATTGAGAATTCTTAAGATCAGAGAGGTCTGAAAATAACTGCTTGCTGTACTAACTGGGAAATGCACCAGTTTTGGAGCAGCATTTTATAGCGAACGAGAGTGACAGTGTGGATAACATGGACATGAGTCAAGGCGTGATTAGAGTCACAGGTTTCGAGGGTTCGTTAATCACGCGATTTCATGGTATTAGCGGAATCGGACAAAGCGCAAACGAAAAGTGCGTGTAAGCACATAGGGAAACGACTTTATCATAGGAAAACTTAAAAAAATAAAAAAAACATACACAGTGGAAGTATTTAAGTTAACGGGCTGTAGATTGTTAAATGAAATCGGAATGCGACCAAGCATGGCAAAAATCGTACTCACAAGGAAGATACCGAGAGGCGAAAGACTTCGCGTGATACCTTTTGCATTTTGGATAGCCAGGCCATCGGTTGGGTCACAGAGCCAACGAAGGTAAAGGAAACACAGGGGAGTGACGCAAAGGCCGCTCAGGCAACTGTGGAGTAGAAGTGAGACGCACAGGGTGGTAACGCGTCCGACAAATGTGAGGCGACAGAAAGGATCCTGAGGACTTTCCACACAAACAGTGGGCATAGATATAAAAGACGCAAGTAATCAATGAATAAACACGGCCACAAAAACTGTAGGATTCTGGGAATATTCAGGAATCAGGACCAGATGGTCTAACACAACATGACATGGAGCACAAAACCAAGACTGCTACTATAAGGGCAAAAAGTGGTGCACGTAGAAAAGTGGACCTTAATATGGGGATCGGCTGGAAAGCAGTTTGACATACTACACAGTTTGAAAAGCACGGAACGAAGACGAAGGCTAGTAGATGCATGCATTTCGTATTGTCTGCTCAGTACCATTAACAATAACCGATATGCATAGGTATAGCTAACAGTGGATGCAACCAGACAAGCTTGAGGTGCAGAACGATGAACACAACCTGTCAGTTATATGTTCCTTGGATGTAGAATCCTTATTTACCAACGTTCTGATACATCGGACGATTACGTGTGCGAATTAGCTGAAAACTGTGGCTGTTCGTTACCGATTCCGACTGAATTTCTGAGAGAATATCTACTCCTGTGCATGGGTAGTGTGGATTTTCACTTCCGGAACACACCATACCGCCAACTTGACGGCGTAGCAATGGGTAGCCGATTAAGTCCTGTTCTCGTTGATTTCTTCATGTTGATGGTAGAAAGAAGCATTTCTACGGAAATAGATCAGGTGCCCTACTACAAACGATATGTTGAAATCTTGGCTTTTTGTTCATCGGAGCACCAGCTCACATTTGGTAGAATGGCTCAATAGTGCTCATGCCAACTTACGGGTTACATGCGAAGTAGAGCAGAACAATTGTCTGCCATATCTGGACATACTCAAGTCGCAGGGATGATGGATTAACAAAGAGATCAATTTACCGAAAATCAACTTGGTCCGAGCAGTACCTACACTTCACCAGCTTCATACAAGGGCAGTACAAACGAGCACTTGTGAAGAATCTAGTTAGTGGTGCCAGACGAATTTGTTCGGCCGACTGGCTGGATGATGAGCTAGTGTTAATTACAGTAGCACTAATGGTGAACGGCTACGCTCGAAGAATTATCGAGAAACACAGCCAACCGCGAGGGCCAAAGGACTTAGTGCACATGGCAGCCAAGAAGAAAATGTACATCGAATTACCTATCAAAGATGATTTAGCCACGATGAAGATAACTAAGCGTATAATTTCGGCTACACAAGGAAGTTACTATGCTGCACAAGTTGTCGTCATCAACCGAACCCGAAATTTGCCCATACCTCCAATGAAGGGAGCTCAGCCTATTGGGGCCAACTCACACTATGAATACCAATTTGTGGTGACTGCGGAAACAGCTACATAGGCAGAACTAACAGGACTCTGACTTCCCGAATAAAGGAGCATGTGCCAAGATGGGTTCAGCGTGAAGTTGCCCAGATTTCCTACCCCTGTCAGATTCCATGCTCGCGTAGACCGCCGGCTTCCTCGATAAGCAATCACCTTTTAGGCTCGGGTCACCGGACAGAACTAGGCTCAGCGTTCAAAGTTGTGTTACGTCACAGTAATCCCCGCTTCCTTCTGTTTGCTGAAGCTGTCGCTATAAGCCGGATGAAGTCAACCCTGTGCGTTCAGAACCAATTATTTGTCAGTCTAAAGCTGCTTAGGGCTTAGGTGTGAACTTCCGTCATTCGTTCTGCACTTCAAACTTGTCTGGTTGTACCCACTGTTGGCTACATCTATGCATATCGGTTATTGTTAATGATACTGAGGAGAAAATACGAAATATATTCATCCACCAGCCTTCGTCTTCTTTCCGTGCTTTTTGAATTGTTGCAGGGAACTAACTGCTTTAAATGCTGCACAGTTGCTAATTACTGCAAAACCGTCCCTCACCAGGCGCCTGTGTATCACGCAACAAACGCAAAGTAACATTTAAATGCTCATTGATGGAAGCACTTACACAAAAAGCGAGTTGAACCAGGTACCAATTAGGGGGAGCTGAGGGAACACAGCCAGAGTGCCGCAAGTGAGGACCCAGAGGCGGCAAAGATCCTGTAAAAGACAGACCTAATGAAGTGCGATGTGGTGAATGGAAGAAAAGGTGCGTCCAAAGAGGAAAGATTAACCCACCCGACGGCCCGTCCCAAAAGATTCATCGAGAAATGGCCAAAACGCCAAGAGAAGACAAGCCAGAGACAACAGGGGACGTCGAGAGAAGCCAAGTATCTACGAGGCCAATGAGAGGAAAACAACAATTGCATTCATTGGACCAGGCAATGCTGTGGCGTAGTAAACAATGTGCACTAGTTCATGTGGCATACCAGCAGTAGAGGCAGCAGTGCACCGCCAACATATAAGCATGGTGATCATATCACCAAGATGTAAGAAGAAATTTTAACACAGAAAATACCGTAAGCAAGCGATCATACCCAGGGTGTTAACGTTGTGCCTGACGCGAACGATCACAAGCATTAGGTTGTCATTTGGAGAAACGGTGGCACCGGTGAGACATAATCTTAGCAGAACGCACTACCCCGCAACTTAAGTAAACTTAGTCCACAGAAGAATCAGCAGCATACGCACACCAAACAAGCGTTTGATTAACAGAGACAGGGAAGCATGTCAAGGCTATAGTTTGTGTTAGGTTTTCAACTTATCGAAATAGCACAATGTAGATCGAGTGGACTTCTGTTTAGGACGTGAGATCTGCTCTGGTGGCCAAAGAATTCATTCTCTTGCCGCCACTCAACGATGCGGCATCTCGAGCCTGACGATAACCGACATCCAGTAGACAAAACAAGATCCTCGTGGGCAAGCGATGAGTGTGCGAACGTGGTATCTGCGCCAGCCAGACTGAAGTAAGATGATCGACGCCGCCTAGTACTCACCTGAGCATTCGATCGTTACAGACACACAGGTGACACCCGATACCACTAATATTCTACAAGCAACCACCACTGCGGTTGAAGTTGTCTTAGACGATTGCAAAATGACGTATCCTGTGTTTGTCTCTCCGCAGAGACCACGAAACGATGTGTTCAGTGTGGATTTGTTACATGACTTAAATTGCTCCGTTTATTTATCAAACTAACGCGCAAGACTGAGGGGTTGTCAGGTCCCGAGTGGAATCGGTTCCGAATCACAATCAGGTCGTGTAAGAATGCACAATCACTTCGTAGTGATCTAGGAAGCTACCTTGACCTGCACACGAGCATGACCAATTGTTCGTGGGAGAGATCACCTGACAGTCTATTTAATGATGGCTCAGATAACGTCTAATGAGTGAAGGAGGACAATCCACGCAATGCAAGCAAACCTCCAGTGTCCACAATATCCTCGAAACTTATTGATTCCACCAAGCTTAACGTTAGACAGAAACATGTGAGACATATACATTGCTGGGAACACAGATTGGAGCAAACGGACAACAGCATCTTGTCCATGAAAGAGCACGGTAGTATCTGACATAGATGATCTCGGTCGATGAGAAATAAACCACTATTACTATTACTGTAATATGGTGCTCATGTCAGCCTGTTCCGCTAATAAAACACCCACCTCTTTGGACTCACAGCAGTCTTTTTGTTACCACTCGGAGATACGATTTTCCTCGACGCGTTTGGCAGGTTGCGCCTGTTTTCGAGGGAAGCAGACTTCTCGTAAACGCTCCCAAATGAAACAAGGAAACATCGGCCGAGAGGATAGTGAATGAGCAGGCTTCCCTAAAGCGGAGGATTTCTTTACTGTTCGACGAAGAGGAACAGGGGGGTCAATGTCGTCCCTGCCTCTCGCCCTGACCTAAAGCAAGAGGACACTTCCAAGATGCGTCCGCTGAAAATCGTTTGTCAAAATGAAGTGGAATGTTGTCGCATCCTCAGGCGGACTTCGGGTCTTAAGGGAGAAACATTTCATGTTTTGAGGGATCTCTGCCCTGAAGACCAAGTGAGGATGAAGAATGCAGTTGATGAAATGCGGAACCGCGAGACAATGGTGAAGCTAATCTTTGTATTGTGGATTTTATTGTAGTTCAATGGACTCCGAAAGCTCGATGGCGGCCAGTCTTTGTCGCACCCGGGCCCTAGGGTCTAAAATTGGATTGCGTGTGATGTCCGCGAATGTGCCAAGGCTGCGAAGTAAATTGGATGGGATTTGTCTCCTCACTTTACAGCGTCATCCCGATCTGATGGCTTTTACTGACACATGGCTGTCCCCGGATATTCTGGATTCTGAAATACTCCTTCCTGGTTATCAGTTTGCTCGGGCTGATCGTCTTGGTACGAGATCTGCAGGTGGCCTCATACTCTACTGGAATTCTGAGTTGAGGGTTCATACCGAAGAGGGTGTTTGTGATACAGTTGGTGGTTTGGAGAGACTTTGGTACCGTGTCCACGACAAACACAATCCGCTCATAGTTTGCGTTGTCTACAGACCCCTAATCGCCCTCGGATTCCGATTACCGGACCCGATCAAAATGCACGGCAGAGGCAAGGATTGTTTAATAATGGGAGATTTAAACGTCCCCAACGTCAATTGGGATCTAGTTCACTGTGATTTCGCCTCAGAATCCTTCGATGCTGTTCTACTGGAAACTGTCCTTGGTGTGGGTCTAACGCAACATGTCTCGTCACCTGCTCGGAGAATTCCGGGCCAAACGTCGCACATCCTCGACCTCGTGTTCAAGCCTCAACCATCCGATTTATAGGATTTAGAGATTCTCCAGCCACTTGGGTCAAGTGATCATTGTGTGCTTAGCTTTCTACGGACAAGACGACCCACCCTTCACCACCGGGGCATACCTCGCCGGAACTACTGGCGCGCCGATCCACTCCGCCTACAAATGGCTGCAAGTGTTATGGACTGGAGCACACCTCAGAAGTTGAATCTCGATACCACTTGGAATCTTCTTCCCTTAAAATTGTGCTTTATTATCGACGAAGTTGTACCAACCGTTGCTGACAAACCTTTCTCTAAAGGATCTCCTTGGATTGATAGAAAACTGAGAACCCTACTGCATAGAAGGCGAAAACTGTGAGATAGATTCCAGTTCCTACGGTTGGCGTCTGACTATTATGATTACAAAGTGCTCAGGAATTTGTGTACACTGAAAAAGCGCGAGAAGCGGGAACAATATGAGCGTCGCCTGGCTGAGCAATCTTGTAGTGACCCGAAAAAGCTCTTCTCGTACCTGAAAAGAAGTACTAAGGCGGGTTGTGGCATACTTGCCTTGTATTCGCGAGAGGATGAAGCTATACTTCATGACGATGAAGCGAAAGCTTGTCTTCTTGCTTCGCAATATTCATCAGTGTACTCGGCTGAGGCCCCGGTATTCAATAACTATATGCCCAAGCATCCCACTCCCTTGGAGCACATAGAAATTACCACGAACACGGTGCTGAGAATTCTTCTTGAGTTGGACCCGAACGCTTTGCCACGCCTTGATGAATTATATCCTCTGTTCCTGAAGACAGTGGCTGAATATATCATCAAGCCAATCTGCCAATTGTTTCGGCACTCCCTGGAGACTGGCTGCCTTCCGCTTGATTGGAAAGTTATTGTGAAGCCAATCCACAAAGCAGGAAATGGAGAGAATCCTGCGAATTACAGACCGATCTACCCGACGTCGGCTATTTGCAAGACAACGGAAAGGACTTTTAAAAGAGCCCTTCAGCTTCATCTCGAGGCCCTGTACATCATTACTCCTGTTCAGCAAGGTTTCCGGATTGCACGCTCTGGTACTATAAATCTACTGGTTGCCCGCGAGAAGTGGGCAAAGTCAGTGGATTCCGGTAATCGCCTAGATGTTTCGTTGATTTCAGCAAAGCATTTGATAGGATTCCACGTGAACGGCTCTTGATCAAGCTGCGGAATAGTGGCATCGCTGGCAAGGTTCTATCCTGGATCACTGATTTCCTGGATCGTCGTACTATGAGGGTGAAGGCAAATGTGGTTCTCTCTGGGCCTGTTCTCATGACCAGTGGGGTTCTACAGGGCTCCGTACTTGGTCCCGAACTTTTCAATATCTTTATCAATGACCTTCCAGAGGTGCTTCTAACTGACTGATTGATCTACGCTGATGATCTCAAACTGTTGTAACGCTGCCCTTGTGCTTCTGCCTCTCTGCCTTACCAACCAGCCGGGGAAAACAAAACGCTGAGCCTGCTAGACCGAAGTATATTAGGTACAGAGCATGGCTATTTTTATAGGTCACATGCGCTTACGTCGCTGCTATCACTGAGGTGACTCACATCTCTTGTCTGAACAGATTCGACTCTGGCAGCCGCCATCACTGTCTGACTGTAGGTAGGACCACGTCCGCGACATAGCAACCCGTGCGGCGATGACGGTCTGATTTCGTCAGCTTCCGGTTTGACCATGACAACCAGTCTGTCAGCCGCTCACGTGATCTGGCCGATCTCGCCCCGCTCGTGTGCACCATCGTAGTCAGCTGTTTTGCCTCCGTGACACCCTCCTCCGAATTGAAACTGCTTCCCCACCATGCGTACTTGCGTCAGTTCAGCTTTCTTTGTTTTGACATCAATCATTTGTCCTGGCGGTTTTCTTCTCCTTCTGGCCGCCCTTCGATATATGTTGTCTGCGGGCCCTTGTGTTTTTCCGTGGTTCGGTCTCCGCTGTTCTGCGTGCCTGATCCACTTCTTGTTTCCAACCGTTAGTTCGTAATTGACTCCACCATTTCTGCGTATCACCCTTCCTCTTGACCACCTCTTCGGTCCTCGGAACTCTCGCGCGTACCCCCTGTCACCAATTCTGCAATGACACACCCTGTCTGTCCGACTTTTCCCCGTATGACAACTGCACTGCTTTTCTTTCCTGACTAGCACAACGCGTTTTGCTCTGGATAGTGGTTTAGTGTCTGGCTTGAGGTTCAGGGCAGCACTGGTGATTCTGCAGCATTCTGGACCAGGTTGGAGCATTGCTTTGTGGCGTCTATGCACCTGTGTAATGTGACTGCCATTGATTTCTGTCGTCGCATCCTTAAGTCTGATGGGCACATCTGATTCTGAAGTGGCAGTGTGGCAGAAGTTTTGCTCCTCCATAGCTTCTGAATTTGCGACCACATTTGCAGCAGGAATCAAGTTGAGCAACTTCTGACATTCTGAAACAACTTCTTGCGATGTCAACTTCACTTCCAGTTCCCATTCTACATGAATGTTTAATTTTTGTGATAGCACTGCCATCAACTGCCTCTGTGACTTTTCGAACTGAGT